CCAAAAAAAAAAAAAAATGGTATGGGCATTCAACATTAGGTGAGAGAGAAACAATATTTTGATTTTTCTGTATGTCCTGCACATGTAGGGAACTGACAATAAAGATCTTGATTTTAACTGATCATCACTGCAGAGTTTCACATTGTCCAGGTGCTGATGTTATTTTTCTGGTTCCTGACTCTTTATACTTTGTTACATTCACAAACTGAGAAGTTAAACTTTATTTATTTAGCCTAAAGTGAAAACTATGTGGGCGGCAGCTTCAGTGTGGTTAAAAAAAAAAAGTCTCAGTCTAGATTCGGTTTGACATCAGTCAGATGTGGAATGATTTGCCAACAGCTGCTGATTGGTTGAAATGTTCGACGTCAAGGAGACAAAACAAATGATCAACCATTACATTTTCAAGCTGCAACATGTGGCATCGTTAAATGGGGCAAACATCTGTGTGAACTCAGATGTTAAAGGAGTTGGTTGTCAACATCTAAAGAGAACAGCTGTTCCTAACTTGTCAGAACCCTTATTTACAAAATGTGCAACATGCACATCTGAACAGTTTTGTGTGTCATGTGAGCGCCTGTCTGAATGAATGCTGTTTCCCCGGCATGGTTTTTAATCTAACACTGATGGTCAGTGTCTGAGGCGTGCTCACCTCCAGCCAGTCGAGGGAAGGTCCTGTAGGTGTCCAGGTTCTGGGCCACCTGCTTCCAAAGACGCTTAAACGTCCTGAAACACAGATTTGATCAGCTTCAGAAACAGTCTGATGAAGCTGTTCACACCATCACATCATCTCGACACTGTTTCAGTTTCACTGGGTCTCACGCTGAACATGTTCATATCACACTGAGACTGTGATGCAGCAGCTTTACTGAAAATACACTGAACTATGTGACCTGATGTTTCCTTCATTACTTAGACCTGTGCACAGGTGTGTGTGTGCGTATATTCAGGTGTTAATGAGGGTGAACACAGTCATGTCAACATACTGTGTGTCATGCTGCCCTCACACACTGCAGGGATTTAAACAACTGAATGGCGTATGTGCAGAAGAGGAGATGTTAAAACGACCACATGGATTCTGATCTGACGGCGCTCGCACAGTCAGAGAGGAATCGGATCTAAGAGCACATACACAGGACTCGGATCAGATCTAATCTGAGGACATCTGGTTTGGCCTCTTCAAACTTTTGTGGACACATCAGGTCTGGGACACTTCGGCTGGGATGTGGACACAGACTAAGACACATTTTCCAGAAGCACCAGCAGCTGCTTTGTGCCACGTCATCAGAGGAAACAGAGCCCGAGTCTGTTGTTTTCTTCATACCTGGTGTTGAGCTGAACATCAGGACTGTCTCCACAAAGCCAGCAGCACTACATACAGTAACCTAGCATCCAGGCTGGCCCCACTCATACTAATGAAGCTCCTTACGGAACACTGCCGGTGAAGTTGATGCCTGCCAGGTGCTCGGAGGAGGTGATGGTGTCTCCGAACACCGGGCCGTTGGCTGGCAGGAACTGGATGATGTGTGGGGGTAGACCACACTCCCTCAGCACTGTGTAGACAGCGTAGCTCGCAGAAATGGCCATGTCACTGGGCTTCCACAGGACTACATTACCCTGGAAAACAGGAACGGCTCCAGAGTCACAACAAACAGCAACAGATGACGGCTCAAATCACATCGAACCACAGACGACTGTGCAAGCAAAGCTTTCTCCCCACACAGCAAAATCTCTTCAGCATGAGTCTGTTTACTGACTGACTGTCAATAATATTCATTATAAGGCATGGCAGTAACAGTAGGTTAGACTGTCCACCTGTGGAACCATCACTAACATCAGAAGCCATTATTCTTACTCGCCCTTTAACCAATCAGCAACGCCATGTGAGCAGCTCTGCAATGCTGTGCTCACACACAGTGGCGCTTGGAGCCAAATGCTAACCTACTGATGTTCAGCAAAGATCAAAGATTTTTATTGTCAATTCACTATATGTGCAGGACATACAGAAAATCAAAATAAGTTTCTCTCTCACCTAGTACTGAATGCCATACCATTTAAGAAACTAAAATAGAAGAAAAGTAGAGTAAAAATAGACTAAAAAAGAATAAGAAAACTCAGTCAAAGTGATTAGGATGAAACTAAACGGTACAACCTAGTAGGCTATGACTCAAACCCTGTACAATCAGTGACAGTAGTGCAAAGTGCCAACAGAAGCTGATATGGTGGTAAAAACAGTCAGCAGCAGATTCACATGTAATATAACAAGAAGGTGGAATGTAGTGGGTTTGTGCAAAATAGCAGAGGTAGTCTCTTTATGTTCTGCGTTGGGTCACAGTCCAGGGGCCGGGGGGGGTAAAGGACAGTGTTCAGGATCCTCACAGCCTGGAGGATGAGGTTGTTTGTACATCTGGTGGAGTAGGCCTGAAGACTCCAATACCTTCTCCCTGAGGCAGGAGTCTGAAGTGGGAGTGTGCGGGGTGGGAGGTGTCATCAGCAACGCTGATGGCTCTGTGGGTGAGGCGGGTGTTGAAGATGTCCGTAAGGGAAGGCAGAGGGATGCCGATGATCTTGCTGGCTGTTTTCACTATGTGTTGCAGGGTCCTTCTGCAGGAGGCAGTACAGGCTCCGTACCACACAGTGATGCAGCCAGTGATGATGCTCTCAGTGGTGCCCGGGTAGGAGGAGCGCATGATGGGGGGTGGGGCACTGGCTCTCCTCAGTTTGTGGAGGAAGTAGAGGTGTGTTTGAGCCTTCTTGGCCAGCGTTCACCGTAATGTTCACCACATTGATTTAACATGCTAGCATGCTAACATTTGCTAATCAGCACAAAGCTGAGGCTGATGGGAATGTCATTAGCTCTGCAGGTATTTGGCCATAAAGCACAAGACTGGACCCACTCACATGTTGACCACATAATGCCGTGGGTACAAATACTACAAAGACCTGAATTATAAAACGCTTTGAGGCTCCTTACTTGTCCCTTGTTAGCTAAAACATAATTCATTATCTGCTACAGGTCTACGGCCAGCAACAGTTAACTATTCTGCAAGTCATCACTTGTAACGCATCAGAAAACACCCTATCGCCCGTTAACCAGTGCAGGAAACACTCACCATCAGAGCCGGGGTACTTGCCAGGTTTCCACCAATGGCAGTGAAGTTGAAAGGAGCTACAGCTGCTACAAAGCCCTGAGGAAAGGTGGGGAGAGACAAACATTAATAAGAACGCAATTGATGCTTGTTTCCTTCTGTTAGAAGCAGAAAAGGCAGATCTTGTACAAAATAATCTGCAGCAGTGTATAAATGTGTGTCTGTCTCCTGCATCCGGAGGAACAGCATCTGTTCAATACCTCTTGTTGCATATTTGTCATACTCAGAGGACGAGCTACAGCCTTTATAACTGATGAAGTGAGACCAGGTTTAATGTGGGTATTTCATCTTCTGGCTCTGAGCTGTTTTGAATGAGTACAAGAAAGTAGCTTGGATATATGACCCTCATGAAATTCTGTTTCTCTTCGTCAGCTGACTGACCTCATGGTAGTGAGGTTCCACAGGTCCGTCCTGGCTGAAGCCACAAGACGAGTGTGTAGCCACACTATGGAGTGTTGCCAAAAATCTGACACAAACCACAATGACGGCACCAGTGGAGGTAAATCTATTTGATCAAAACCACAAACAAGGGCAGTGACAAATGCAGAGCTGTGGTTTTAATGGGACTGTGTGTACATGTCAAAGGGTGAACTTACTGCCAGTCTCCCCTGACACACCTCCCTCCTACTCCTCCTAATTTAATGCCAGGCTATAACACCTGTACACAGATCTGTTACTGGGGCTACGTATGTACCGTTTCATTTGTGTCTTTGAGCCAGGAAGAGCAGCTGATGGGAATCTAATGAATAAAGTGAGATGAGGGGTGGAGACCTGTTACACCAGACTCGGTATCACTGAACCACAGCCAGACTGGTTTATAGACCCAAAGCATTACGGTACGCTGTCCATTTAAAGGCAAAACTTGATTTTGTACCATGGTCATCAGTTTTCCTTGGCAGTACAGTGGACAAACACGGTAGTACACAGCATTAGCATGTGATGGGTTGTACCTCCAGGCCACGGTACAACATGGTGTTGGTGCTTCCCCCAGCGTCTAATGGCTGTTGTTCCTGTAGCTCGACCGCGTGCTTGCTATTAAATCTGAAGAAGTCGATCAGCTCTGCAGCAGCATCGATCTCTGCCTGGACCACCGTCTTACCCTGAGGCCCAAAACCAGGACACACAGAAATACTCACACTTTGTAACATGTCAAATAACACATGGCTGTGAACACAGCTACGCGCTGCACATGCTATGTTTTGGTCTGCGTGATGTGGACCATTGTGCCTCTAACTCTGACTGACACAGAATCTGAAATCTTAGAGTGACTGGCTGGACACCAGTCAAGGCCGATCACTCTGAAAACCAGTCATTTAAATGGTAAAGGGACTGAACTTGTTTAGCACTTTCTATCACACCTGGACAAAACGCTTTACAGATTCACACATCCACCCATTCACACAAACACCAGGAGCAACTTGGGGTTCAGCATTTTGCCCAAGGACACCTCGACATGTGGACTGGGGAGAACGGGAATCAAACCGCCGACCCCTGAGCCACATCCGCCCTATTTGGCTCTCATCATGTCTCTTGCACCTGTCCGATCATGGTCTTGGCAAGGAGCTCGGCTCTCTTGGGTCCACTGATGATGTCAGCTGCCTTACAGAAGATCTGGGCTCTGTCCTGGACCGGCTTTAGGTCCCACTCCATCCTCGCTGCTACAGACGCCAGGATGGCTTTGTTGATCAGCTCCTGTATCGGCACATTCACGCAGAAACAAACAGTCGGTAGAGGCTTGGCCCGTACAGCTCATTACAAGTTCCCGTGGAAAACAAACAAGCAAGCAAACAAAAAAAAAAAAAAAAAAACAGCAACATATAACCCATGAAGTTACACTTTATAAAAACAGCAGCCTGTACTGAGGACGAGTTGGTTCTAGTGTTGAAGCCTAAACAGTTAAAGAAGGATAGATTTTAATCCCTGACAGCAGCTTCTTATAACCTTCTGACCTGCATTCTGTCAATGATTCCTTCAAGTTGTATTTATTCATTTTCAAAAGAGCTTTCAAAACTCTATTGGGTTTTTCCTATAATAACAGTAAGGTCTAGACCGTACTTTGTAAAGTGTCCTGAGACAAATAAAAATAAAATTAATCTGAATTTGAAAAAAACTGACTGTTCACACAGCCTTAAACACATATTCTGGACTTATCTAGACTGGTCAACTACTTCACTACTACTTCAGTATATCAGTTCATGAATGTCAGTCAGGACATGGTCCAACAGAGCAAAACCTATAACGATTATCTCAGATTTGTTGCCTGACATGTAACAAATCTGCCTCTGATCTCATTTAAAAGTTGTTTTAAAGGCCTACATTTTTGTGTTAACATTAGATTTGGGGGGTTGTTATAAATATGCTACAGCGTGGTTCAGTGAAACATAACTCACCTTGTCAGCATAGCAGAACTGTGCCACCTTGTGTGAGTGGTTGAACGGCTTTGAAAAGAAAAAGAAAGTTTATCGTACACCAGTATTACAGAAGTAGGCAGGAAAAACACTGGAGCGTCACACTCAGTCCAGCTCAGCTGCAGCAGACTGGATGTTTCTCTGACAGAGAACATTTCACCAGCTGTACAGGACGTCTCAGTAGTGATTCCCTGTGGAGCAACAGGCCACAGAGCAAGACTCACAGATAACTGATATCTGATGTCACTGGTCCACACATGTTCGTCTCCGACCACACATGGAATCTCCTCCGTCTTCCCCTTCAGACTGTCCAAGGCCTAAGTAAATAGAAACCGAGTTACAGCTCGTGTTCAGGGAGTGTTACAGTCAGCCCATATCCGTGACTGCTGGGAAATCAACCTCCTTCTCACCTTCAGCAGCTCTTTCCGTTCTGCACTCCCCTCTCTGAACTCCAGGATTGGCTCATTTTTCACCGCCACAGCTGCACAGGGGAAGCTCCTAAACCTTAGGAGACAAACAGAGAGATTCTGTATTCACTCCCAGTGTTTCCAGTCTGAATGGAGCCGCTGCATCACCTGAGCTGACTTTAACCAGTCAGGAACCTCTTGGTCACGGCGGGAGGGTGTTGACCTCCTTTAACGAACAGACGAGAGCTCAGGGTTTGACTTTGATTACCAGTTTGATGAGCACACCGCATGCTAATCAATGAGCTGAGGTCAGTTTTTATCTTCAGTTAATGCTCTGGCTCCCAAACGTTTCATGTCCCAGTTAGAAACCCGAACAAAGCAGATGCCTGCATACCAAAGACACCCTCTTTTGCTTTTTTAAGTGTTTGTCAGACAAAACAAGTTTTCACTTTGAGGTGTGAAAAGTTCAAATGAATCAGCTAAGGCCTGACTCTGACAGATCAGGCGTTAGCTGCTACAGCCATGTTAGACTTTCTTCTTCACTGACCTTTAGACATTTTCTTGAAATGGGGCAAAATTAGAGCTGTGGTTTTCTAATGAAAAACTTTTCATGCTCAATTCAGTTACCCTGACAGTGACCCCAGAGCAGATCCTTCACAGATGATTAACTACACCAGAGTAAGCTTTCTGACCTGAAGGTGAAAGCCAACAGTGGAGGAGGGGGTGGGGGTGGACAGGCAGCTGCTGCTCGGACAGACATCCTCACATACACTGTGTTCCTACAACACAGACAAACTTCTCTCCCTGACTGAGCTGCTGCTGAGCCTCTGCAGCCTGGAAACCAGGACAGACAGATGTCAAACATCTGGAGTCAGGGGAGTTTGTACAGGTGTGACAAAAACAAGACAAAGTGTTGGTTCTAAGAACCAGAACAATGTGGATGTCCGTGAGAATCGGTCCTGGTCACTGTAGGTTTCCTGCTCCTCACATCGGCACTGAAGGTGTCCACCCAGAAGGCGACCATGCTAGAAGAAATGAGGGTGAAATACACACACCGCCCTTCTATGTAAAACTCCACTCCACAGTGCGTGTGAGGCCCAAACAAGGCTTTAGCTGTCCCAGCGAGCCAATTCAAGTCACCAGCTTTCAAAGTTAAAACTATACGAATGAGGGCAGACAAAATACACAGTCCTTTCTTCTCCACGGCCGTGCTGCTGCTGCTGCTGCTGCTAACAGTCTCAGGTACAAACCCCTGTGGCCAGAGGGCAGGTGCACCTGAGTCAATCATTTGTATCTATTTTTGATCATTCTGAGGTTCAGACTGTTCAGACGTCATGAAGCTTTCATTATTTTCTAACATTTCACAAATCCAACAATCAAATCAATAAAAAGAGAAAAGAATCAGCAGATGAATCTATCATGAGGCAAATGAGCTACAGCTCAAAGTAGCTCCACTCTAACCGAAAGCAACAGTACATGAAGGCACCAGTAATACTATTCCATATGCCTCATAGATACTTTTAATATTTTATTTGCATTTTCCTAAACATACTCACATACGTTTAACTGATTAAGATTATTTTTAATGTGTGGTAATACTAATTTTACTGACATTAAAGATGCAAATACTACTTTCATCGCTACAAAAAAAAAAAAAAAAAAAAGAGATCCTGCCTTGCACATCACAGATCAGATGTTTCAGCAATTAACAGACTAATCGACATTCAATCATCTGATTAACTGACTAATCATCTATGGACACTTCAGGTAACAACTTCAATAATTATCAGACTGCCAGATGATAGACCAACTAATGCTGCAGCTCTGCATCTCAATCTGCATAATTCATGACATGAGCCCACTACTCAACCTATACATTTGGTGAATGTGCATTGTTTTCTAGGATTTGAGCTGGTATTTATTTGTGTTTGCCATGAAATACCCTGCAGACTACTACTACCTTGTGATGTCCACCTGCCCTGCACCTGTGTGAGGTGTTGCAGCATTTCAGCTCATCTTAACATGGTTGCGCCACCTGACGACCTGGTTACACAACCAGTTAGGTGCAGTGGTGGAAGAAGTACTCAGATTCTTTACTTAAGCAAAAGTAGCAATATCATATTGTAAAAATACCTGATCTCTGTAAAAATTTACCTAAGTAAAAAAAGTATTATCAAAATATACTTAAAGCAGCTAAAGTATTCATTATGTAGCACATTACACATGAATGTATTTCATGTTATTTATTGTGTTATAATGACTGTGCACATCACATTTAAGGTAACGTAAAGCCATGTAACTACTTTACATGCTTACATTTTGAATGACTTTACACATTGCTGGGTAGCTTGTGAATGTTCCACCAGGAATAAACAAAGTTTTATGATTATGATATATGTTGTATTAGTAATCAGATTATTAAAAGTAACTAGGAACTAAAGTGATGAAATAAATGTAATGAAGTAAAAAGTACAATATTTGGCTTGAAAACGTAGTGAAGTCAAAGTATGCAGTAGCACAAAATTAAAATATACAAGTACAAAATTGTACTTCAGTTCCTTTCCACCACGCACATGGCCACATGGTCACCGCTGTTTACTTCAGCTAACAGGTATAACTAAAACCTCTGGTTAAAGAGGCAAGGTCAAATGTCAAAGTGTTTATTTGTCATATGCACAGTTAGGAAACGTGTTTCCCTGTACAATGAACTTTGCTGTCCACATGAACGCCACAAAATACTAATGAAATATAAAGTAGATAAATAAGTAACACAAATCTAAGGCACTTTAAGCAGCAAGTGAAGGAAGCAAATAAAAATACAACAAGAACACAATATAATGCAGAGAGAATAGCTTAACATTAGCGTGTAGCAGGAGTCTCGTGTAGACTCATGTGAGGCGACAGTTGATACCTACCCCCTCCAGGAGCGACACACCGCGGACCTCACACGGAGCATGGTCCCAGTGCAGGCTGGCCACACGGAGACACGAGAGACACGGAGTCGATGAACCGTCCAACACAGGCAAATAGCCGATCAGATATCGATTATAGCAGAGCTGATGGACACAGCAGCAACTGGGTGACTCCACGCCGGCCACCACTAACTGTTTGCGGGGGTGAGGTTTATTTTTTAATGTCACATTGTGTTTCACTTCCAACACGTTGTCGCAGTTTTACACCCGTTTAACAACAGAAGATAGTACTTCCGACACGTCTGAACAAAAGGCAATGCCTGCTGTATTTGTTAAAAGTGTAAATGTCTTTGAGGAAAAGTCCCCCACCCCAACCTCTGTGAAATGGAGCGTTCCACAGGCGGGGCAGAGCCTGGCCAATCAGTGAACAGTTAAATACCCTCAGCGAATCACAGGCCAGCTGTGGAGCTCAGAATGAAGTTAAAGTGTAAACAGCTTCGTGATCTTCATGTCATCACGCTTTTCATCGTGATAATTCCGTTCGTCACTCCAGTCTCTCTGAACTCAAAACCTACGTGTACAGGTTTTGTTGGTGAATAGAACCGTGTGTCGTGTTGTTGCTCGATAACTGTGGATCATTTGTTTAGCATTAAGGTCAGATACAGCCCTATGCCAACTTTTGGAAACTAACTCCCTGGGTTCGTGTTAGATTCTAACACTCGGAAGCAGTCTACACCGTGGTATAGCCTAAAGTATAGTTTTTTGTTTGTTCTTGCTCTTCTGTTCTTTATTTATTATTATTATTATTATTATGGGATCTTCCACCCTTTTTTGGCACTTTATAGGCCATTGAGGTCTATCTGTTCAACTCTTCAAGGACATCCCTGCTTGTACTCAACTTTTTTATAACATTTATACTTTTTAATCTATTCAGCTTTATTTTTTTGCAATACAAGTCAATCTGAGCTCAAAGTGCTGAGTCAATGACAGAGTCGTGGAGTGCCATCTGATGGTTCATAAAATGCAGCGCAACTGGGACATGCCCCAACATAACATTGAGCTAACCGCTAACACAAAAAGATATTAAAAAAACTCAGTCTCATATCTTATGCTCTGCATGCATTGAGCACAAGTCATAACAAAATGAAGAATTCCATGTGTGAGTATGTTTTATGCGTGATGTATAACTAAAACATTCATTCAGACACAATTCTTCCATCCATCCCTTTTCCTCTGCTTATCTGGGACAGGGTCGCGGGGGCAGCAGTCTAAGCAAAGATGCCCAGACTTCCCTCTCTCCAGACACTTCCTCCAGCTCCTCCGGGGGAAGGCCGAGGCGTTCCCAGGCCAGCCGAGAGACATAGTCCCCCCAGCGTGTCCTGGGCCTTCCCCAGGGAATCCTCCC